GTCCCTTCTGACCCTAGAAACTATGAAACTATGAAAATCTTGCAGGCAAATGCCATTTTGGGAGGGGAATTTCACACTAGAATTGTAGGAGATTTTGTATAGGTAACTTCCATAGAGTTAAAAATGGCAGTTCCCTTACTATTTTGGGACAGAATTCACAATGGGACTTCACTGCTTGATGCAGCTAGCACAAAATTCTTATGTTTAGTTCTGTATTAGAATAATAATGATTCAAAAGTGCGGTAAAAGATGAGCAAGAGCAACATTGTTATAACTCTTTCATGAGTGGGAAAGTAGAAGCAGAGAAAGATGACATGATTTGTTTGAGATCACATGGCAAATCAGTGCAGAGCTGTGAATGGAACAGTGTCTCCTGCTGAGAATATGGAACATGGCAGTCTGCCTCCACTTCAGAAAAAGAAAGATGGAGCAAAAATGGTGACACGAAAATGGCGACATGAAAATAAAAATATAATATGCATATCAATTAAAGAAATGTAAAAAGGATTTAACTTCGTATTTGTTTCCTAAATTTGTAGTAATATTTGTTTATAATAGAAGTTAAAAATTCTAGGCATCTAGGTTATTAATTGGATGGACAAAACAGGAAGTTTCAGGCCATGGTCAAAATGAGCACATGATTACAAGTCTAATTTGCATGCACATATACCTATTAGCATGCTCAGTCGTAGTATCTGCACCTGCAAGTTGCGGGTCATTTAAATGAGTTTGTATGTGCAGATACCAAATTTCTTGATGTGTTCAGTCTTGATAATTACACATACAATGTAGATGCATAAATGTTTGCCTATTGTTGCATGTGGTCCTATATTTTAGTTTTTGCAAATCTGACCCAATTTGTTAGAATTTATTGCCAGAAATTAATCCTTTGCCGATAACTAAGTATAGTGGGATATTTTGTTTATTTTCCTGGAGAAGTTTTTATACACATTTCCCTATTAAAAGCTTTTTAAAAAAGCAGTTGGGCCTATTGCAAATATGGACCATTTCTGTCTGACAGGCAGAAATATTTTGATATTCTATATTTTATCTGTTTGGTTTAACCACAAGTTTTATATAGTAAAACCAAGCAATGTGAAAACATTTATTATTTATTCACAGTTTTATTATAAATTGCAAGTTACTCAGACAAAATAGCTTTTTGTTCTTGGTTTTCTGTTTTGTAACTCATGATGGGTATAGATATTACACCAGTTCAAACACAAAATGCAACTCAGAATATTAGTGATTTCTCCAGTCTTTTTATTCCATTTGGGTAAATGCCTTTCTTTAGAAATATAAGTGTTGATCTTAACTCTATTTTCAAATTGATATTTTAGCATTTAGAACTCCCTGAAAGTGGGTTGTGGTATTTGTTTTGTTCCTGTAGATACAGTTTTGCTATCCATATATCTTAGGTATAATTTATAAATCCACAGATGATGGATACGGAGGAGGTAGTCAAAACACTACTGAGTTTGATATAGAAGACAGTCTTTACATGTCATTTTTAAACATTTTAAAATGTTTGCATTAGTTTTAAAAATTAGGAAGCTCTTGAAAATATACATGATTTGGACAAAGTAAAACCTGAGATCAAAACTTGTAAATTAGTTTTGGAAAGTTGTTATTTTCAGGCTTCTCTTTTGACGGAGCTGTTCTGCTAATAGTGCTTGCACTTCTCTGGATATAGGATTGTCTCGTATCTTTAAAAAGCAGCTTAACATATAGCACAGTAGTATCCAGGGGATCTATTCTTATAATTACATTGGGTGCATGTTCAAGGGGTAATGAAATTAGATTCAGTAAAGAATGTAGGTGCCTACAGATACAGGAAATGTAACACCCAGCTTTCAGTTGCCTGGCCCCAGAGTGAAATTCAAGCCCCCTACAATCCCTATAGAGCCATGGGCAAGTGAAGAGCTTTTGAATCATAATCCATAAAAATCCACACGTGTGAGGCCCTGCTAAAAGCTAGCTAATAGAACCCAATCATCCTGTCCTGCTCTGGTGCTTGAGGAGCCTCGTGTCCCCTGGGAATCGAGTCTGGAAGCCTCTCTTACTGGTAGGCACTTACTGCCATTCTTTCAAAGGATTGGAAAGGGCTCAAATCATAATGAGTCTGATTGAAAAGGATAGTAATATTAGTGGCACCCACCTTTGATATAATAGCTGAGTAGTTACAACACTTATCCAGGAAGTGGGAGACCCAGGTTCAGTGCCCTCCTCGGTCTGAGAACGATGGTAATCATTTGATTGTAGGCTAGGCTGATAGGAGCAGCCTCCCCCTCTGCTGTTGAAGCTGTGCTGCTGCACGGCAAAGAATGCAGGAGTCATGGAGAGAGATTGGTATGCAGCATGAGAGAAAACAGGCATTCGGGAAGGAGGAGGATTTTAGTCTGATGGGAGAAGTCTTACTTTCCAGTTTCTGCTCTTTGCACAGCTGATACAGTTTTTGTTTTTTTTGGTGTTCCTTGAATGTAAAACACAGAAACAATCCTGGAAGAAGGGACCAGATGCAGGACTTGCCTCTCCTAGGAAGTGCCCTCATTGCTTGGCAGCAGGGTCAAGCTCCATCTGTCTCTCTCTTGCACCATAAACTTTGCCCTTTTTTTTTTGCACTGGGGCATGGCTTCAGCTGGAGGGTAGGATGGTATCCCCACAGCCTATCCCGAAGTGTGGTGAGTAGACATTATCCAAAGGAGTGGGAATAAAATTTTAACTGCCTCAGGCTGAGGAGAGCATTGAACTGCTGCCTTGGCTTCTGAGTGAGTGATCTAGCCATGAAGCTATTATATGTAAGAGACATTTCTTTATCCTGATTTTGTTTTTAAAAAGTAGCCACAAGTGCATTTTGTGAGGGGCCTAATCCTACCAGATCATGACTTTTTTAGATCAGGCCCCTCAGAGGGTTAGGCAGAGAAACCCAACTTCTGGATCCTGACTGGGTTTAGGATGAGGCTAAGCACCTAGGTGTTTGGACTGGGGTCATTCTGTGCATGGCCAGATACCAAACTCTGGGCACTTAGGGAATTTTCAAGTCACACCTTAGAGCTGGAAGAGCAGAGTTCCAAGTGAGCTACATTTTACTT